AAATAGTAAGACATAATTTAGTGAATTACAGCATTATTAGCCTTCTAAAATAATCCAGGACTCTTTGCTACTTCTAACAAACCTTTTATAGTTGTAAACTACCCTGTCAGTTAAGTTGCCTTTTGTTGTCTTTTCACAATCCATCACTCGTGACAGGCCTTACCTGGGGAGAGACACGTGTCCCTCATGGCTGTCTCGTGGCTGTCTGCCTGCACAAAGGACGATTACAACATATGTTTATGTAACAAATCTGTTCCGTTGGTTCCTTTAAATAGTACCATTTTCACTCATTGTGAAATTGGGGCTTTTGTTGCTGTTAATGACAGATGAGCATAAATTATGTTTGTTTTTAGTGAGATGAATGGAAGACGTGGGATGAGCAGCACAGCTGTGACTAACCAGCCAATAGGTTGTGTTTACCTTCATACTGTATTTCGTGATTATATTGTAATTTGATAAGTAATTATATGAAAGTTCCAACTCAAGGCGTTAAATTCATTAGGAAGTGAACCCTGATGTAAGTCAAGGACCCCGTCATAAGTAACATCTAGGCTTGTGCAGACACTTATTCTACTGGGCTAATGTGAGAATTTCCTTTACCTCCAAATTTCTTCTTCCAGTTGCAGGGGATCTTGCAACGTTGTGTCTTGATGGTCTGCTTGCAGTCAATTCCAGAACGTGTCCCTTCCCTGGTGCCGAGTCCGCAGTCCCCTTCGTTGGCCACACACACGCTCCATTGCCATTCTCCGCAGTCCGATTTACGATCCTTCTTTCCTGAATAATCAGACCACACCAACACATATAGTGCTTGTTAGCATAAATTAGTCAATACGTGACTGCTCCATATTCTGGATGCCCTGTGGCCTGGTGTAGTCCCCAATAATAGTTGGGGCAAGAGACCAATTATAGTCTGTAGTTTTTAATTTCGTATTTTTTAATTTTTTTAACTCTCCTGGAGATTACGCAAAACATTGAGTAAAATTAATTAACGTTTTTTTAGCTTCCAATTCAATAGATTTTTTTTAGCCACTTTTCGCAAAATGTTCTTTCTGTTTCTGAAAAATTTGCATCAAAGACAAACAACTCTGACTAACCCTGTCAGGCATTTTTCATATTCAATATAATTAAAGAAGTTATGTCCCGAAAAAAACCTTGTCATGAACACATTGTTAACGGTGGAGCCTGTGAGGAGAAAGATAGCACTGTGTCCCTCCACTGAACAACAGACTTGTCTTGGGCGACACACTGCTAAATAGCAGAAATTGCTTCACTATCCTTTATTATTAATAACATAAAAATGTAAATAAGTTCAAAATTCACCTTGTTTGTCGACTTTGCCTCCTTCTGCCGCCATCACTGCCAGCACCAGGAGCGCCATCACAGCAATCCTTGTCCAAAGCTTCTGTGCATTCATTCTATAAAAAAAAGATTTTTTAGTTGTTTTTAATAAACAAAATATACAGTAAATATACACTTGACTAGAAACAAAATTCAAGAAAGAAGATTATTATCCTTCTGGCAACTATTAGTATAGACTCTAAGATAAAAATTTGTTTTACACACAAATCCGTTTACATCTCTGGTGGACCACATAAGATGATGTGGTGGGCCACATTCAGCCCGCGGGCCTTGAGTTTGACATATGCGGCCTACATCTTAATTAGATGGTTTATAACCTGCCAAAACGAGGGAATCCAAGAGGTCATAATAATTACATTTGCATTACTCTTTCACAACTGCCGTCACACCATTATATACAACCCAAAAGCTAAGCTTGTTAGCATAGAGCTAAACCAACACCAGATATTTTGTGTGAACATATTAGACATTGGATGTGTGTGTTATCCCACAGAAGCTGGGCGGAGCACACATTAGCTCATCACCATTTAAAGATATAGACACCAGTTCTTTGAAACATGACTGTAAAGAAACCAGCTGTGTTCAACCAAACCACATGACTAATATTTCCTTTCCACACCAAAGGACCATATTTATTTGCAGTTAAGTAGCATAAAGTGTCTCCTTTATGGCAAGTAAAATGTACTCGATTGTGACACGAAAGCATTGCTAAAAGACTAGTAAAGCAACAGTTGTCCCTGGTCTCAGGAGACCATGGTTACAGCCTGAGGAAAGTCCTGCTCGTCTCCCATGTCATTACCACTGCACTGGATTCCAGCAGTCAGGTTTGATTGTCATCAATGCCACCACTCTGTCAGTCACGGCTCTACATGCTGTCAGTTTCCTGGGGGTGTAGACTGAGTCAACATAGGAGTTTGATTTTATGTGTAAGAGTCAGAGAATAACAGAGTGACAGTAGCAGCTTACACTGAGAAGGTGTTTGGACCCAGGTCCCAGTCCCAACAGGGTCATACCATTTTTTATATATTTTGAACTTTTCTGTTGTCAGCTTCTACACCGTTTCACGTTGGACATGATGAACTAGGTTTGTCATTTGTACTAACTTTTCTAGATTGAGGATTTTATCGATTAGGTAAGTTCAGGTCTGGTTTGACAGATTTTCATCAGGACGTTATGGCCTTGATCCTGACCTAGTAGGAGGTTTAGATCTTGTACAACAATGACTAATGTGTTTTTTAGCCTCCATCTGTCAGCTGTTGGACAGGACTGCAGGTGAAGGCACAACATAGGCATCAGATTGTTGTGTTCAAAATGTAAGGAAGATGTCTTATTGAAACAGTGGCCCCTTAAACATTTAAAATCAGACTCATACCTGGACATCAATGGTTGAAGACCATTTTGTTGGTAGTAGAACCAAAGTAGGACAGTGAGAGGAAGCAGAACAGGGGTGATTGATGACTGAGGTGTAGATGTGGAGAGCTGAAGGAACTGCAGGGCTGATGGGAAAAGGGGAGTGAATGGTTGAGGGGTCAGGTGGGTAAGAAAATGGAGTGAGGGTCGAAGGGCAGAGGGTCAGTGGAGGGAAGTTGGCCAGATAAATTAGGTCTGGAGTGGAGACAGATGCAGGTCATTTTTCAATATATTAAATGCCCAGTAGGAAAGGGATCATGAAACTAAAGGCTACATTCAGTGATACCACGTTTAGCCCATTCATTCTATCTGCATTGAAAATCCCTCGAAGATTATGTAAATGAGTCCTGTGGTTTTTACAATCCTGTTTGAAAGACTACAGTGACTACAGACGCCTGGCCTTCAATTATAATCCCACGTTCAACAGAACATATCATTCATCATTAGATTTCCTCTGAGCTTTGGCATCATTTTCCTTCTAAATGGAATCATCCCTTACAAAAACATGCTCTGTTAATAAAGATCTAATACCTGTGGGTCTTGATCATGCCCTTGGGCCAAGACTGGCCAGCCAAACTGTCCAATCCGGTTCCAAAATTGTAATGATCAAAGAAAAATATAGTGTGGTCCCCACTATTAAAGCAACTGAAACAATAACTGAGACTTAAATAACCCATCATGTACATTACATTACACAGTTATACACCTTTTTTTTATCATTTCATTTTATCAGGCAAACTCATTTGTCAGGCAAACTCTCCAGGGTGTATTCTTAAGGGTTGGCCCCAAAGGTGTCTGTCAGGCAAACTCTCCAGGGTGTATTCTACCCTAAAACACTGACTGTTGGGATGGAGGTCCAGCTTCCCTGGATTAAGTGGATGTTTTGTAAGAACTTCCTATCTTATTTCTTAGAACATAAATTGTCGTCCCTTCTGTTTAACCTTCTCCTCCGACAGTGCAGTGATAAATTTTGGTTCCATTCTCCTCACTAACCTCTGGCTATGATTCAAGTTTCAATATTTTATGCCAAGAAGATTTTTACTCTGTCTCAAACCAATATATGCTTCTCTACTTTTACGATGTAAATAGTGAAAGCTGTTACAGACTGTCCAAGAAGTCGGATCAGAAGAATGGTACAGGTTAATTACCTCTGCCAGAATTGGAGAAACACTCAGTGAGAATTATGACAAAATCAAATTCCACTCTGGCCTCTGTGAGACGGGTGGTCCTGTTGGTTTACTGGTGGAGTGGAGGAAGGAGAAAAAAACAATACTGGCCACAAATCAATGGACCTCTGTTGACCCCAGTTGAGCTTCAGCAAACAGGATTTTCCACCACTAAAGATTTTGTATACCATATGCAGGAAGCACAAAGAAGACCAACACTTGAATTAGACATGAAAAGAAGAAGAAGAAGAAAAATGTCGTCTTGATAAGGAACCTAAAATCACCTTCTCTACAGAGAACACGGCACCAAGTAGCAGCAGCTCCTCTGAGGTGTGCCGATAACTAGCACAAATATTATCACAAGACACAAGTATGCTTTTAATATAACTTATCTATATGTGAATTATTTATGTTCTTTTTAAATGCTGCCCCTGGAGGTAGAAAATGAAATGAGTCATTTTCATATCCAAGGCCTTCGACATTCCTCCTTAGATACATACATTTAAATTTGTGTCAAGGATAGAATTGTTCTTGTGTTGTTTAAGGTATTTTTTTAAAAATTATATTTTATTTAATCCAAGTGTTTTTATTTTTAAAATATAAGGCCTCATTTTAACATTTTCCTCAATAAAATAATAAAGTTTTGTGCTACATTCAGCCAGGAAATCTGCAACACTACTCGTCAACACCATTAGTGACTGACCTTTGTCTCAGACATGTCTGTCATGAGGTGCAGTCTTTAACACAGTGCTATTAGCCTATAAATCTAACTTGGTGATAAATCCTTTAGTCTAAAAACAATTCAACGATTCAGCTTTTTAAATGCTCTCTAGTAAGGCTTTGCAGCTCTGGCTGGTCTCTCTCTCTCTTTGTTAAGATTTGAGCACATTTTCTTACCAAATCCCTTAAAATCATCACTTATTGCAACCGAAAAACTGTTTGCCCTTAGTTGCAAATACAGACAAACGCTGTCCAACATCATACAGCCAGTTCAAAGGGACACTCTCTGACAGGAACAAGTCTTCATATTCAGCCGAATGTGTTCTTTCACATGAGGCTGCACATTTACTCAACAGACCAGTGAGTGAAAGAGTAAACAAGGTTCGTGTGTGTGTGTGGGGGGGGGGGGACTTGTTAATGGCTGTAAGTAAAACATGCTGCGATAAGCGTGTTTAATCTTGTGTGATAAGCTTTTTCCTTTCTCCAAATTCTCCCTCTGGCTTTTCCGTCTTCCCTCTGCCACTTCAAGATTCAGAATTTATATGAATTGAAAGGAAACGGCATCTTTCTGAAGTTAAGAGTCATTTCAGGTCATTTCAGTGCAAAAGACTGGTTTGAATGCATTGGTTTTTGTTATTTGAAGGATGTTTGAAGATTGTCGTGTTCCGTGTTCCAGGAACCAGACAAAGTGTTGAGGGTGCACATGGTATTGAGGTTTTGACAAAAAGAAATTATTAATAAACTCAAGTAAATACTTTCAGTAGTCAGTATGTAGAGTGGCATGAATGTGTTAAGAATGAGAATGTGCATGCTGAACCTCAAGCGACCCAAACCAACAAGAAACATACACAGGCCTGTAAAACCCACAGGTTGTACTGGAGCGTGGCTTCTTACAGCTGAGTATTTCTTCTCCCACCAGGTGGCCACACCCGGCCAAGTGCTAGCCGTCCACGAGATGGCAGCAGGCCATCGCTCAGGCCATTCCACCATTTATCAAAAGATAAAGTTAGGCAACATTTAGATGTTAAAACAGGAGCAGACGACAAGCTGTAACATCCCCCCAAAGGAACATTCAAAAGCGCTTCTAAAATTCACACTTTTTTATATATATATAAAACAACAAAACCATAATATTCTACCGTACTTCATTACAATTTCAGACTTTTTTAAGTTAAGTTTCCAATCACTAAAAGCAATGAGAAACATATCTGTGGTTTTATTTGACTGGTTTTATTTCAAGTGAAAAGGAGCTTTTTTTGTGGCAGGAAAAATCCAACTCTAAGTGGTTTCCCCATTTGGGTTGTTGTGATCCAGGAGTGGAGCGAATGCCTCACCTAGACACAGAGCATATTGAAAGGATTTATTCAGGAGCTTCTCGGTGTGTGTGTGTTCCTGTAGCTGAGCTTTTGAGAGATTTCAGCACAGATGAAATGCGAAGTGTATCGACTGGAGGACGGGGGACAGACTTTGCAGGAGACAGGCAGGCAGACAAGCGTGTAAAGTCAGCCACATAACCCGAGAATACAGCCAGTGAAAAAATAAATAAGGGATTACTGCTGTGGTTCTACGAATGATTCAACCTCAAGACCCACATTTTACCAGGTGCAATAAGTCCATCTGAATTTACTGTAGCAGTGAAAAACAGAGAATAGTTGGCCAGAAACAGGTAAAAGAATAAAAAATGTTTTTTTTAGCAAAAGGTAAACAAAAATATGAGTTCATAAAGGTTAATGTCAAAAAATGGATATAAACACCCAAAG